ATATTTCACGACTACTGCATATCACCGCGAATATCGCGTCTTTCACGCCAAGTATTACGCCACTTCACACATGTTGTTGGATGTTAGGTCCTCGGCCACTTCCCCTCACCGTAGTGTATCCATCGTTTTCCCAATCCCCCATCGCCAGTTCCCGTACAGATGCTGTTGTAACGTGGGCTCCTAGGAAGATAGGGCCAACCAGTAGGAACTTCACCTCGCGCTCTTGGGAAGTAGTCTAGTATGAACAGGTTCGGCTTTTATCGTTTGTCATGGTACTCTGGCTCTGTTCTGGGACATTGCTCCTGAGGCATCAAGGTTGGTGATCCTCTTGGAATATATGTTTGCTCAGGAGTTCTCTCACTGGTTATAGGAGTTCGAGTAGAAGTTTTCGGAAATTATTGAGGATTTTTCGGAATTTCCTCGAAAAAAATCATTTTGTAGTTGACCATTTGCATATTTTCTCACACGGAAAAATGAGGACATTTTCTTGGTTTAGATTCCGACCATTCCTCGCTCTCGATCTACCAAGTTTGATAACTAGTGTGAGTTGTCAACCACTACACCGATCTGTCCCCTTGCCGACCGAGATGGTGTTGGCTAAAGCAGAAGCGCTACAACTGGATGGCGCACCTCCCCTACAGAAAATGGTAAGGGAGCACTAGGTCCTCTTTAATGATCGCCTTGTAGGTGGATCTGGTGGCGTGTCCAACAGTGGAGGTAGAAGCGCTCGCCCTGGTCATAGGAATGCAGTCTGGCGCTGTTATGGCCGCCTCGGTGTTCCTGGTGGAGCTCCCACATGGGATAGTGGTAGGAGTTAAACTTGAGGTTTTGCTCTTATTGCTTCATCTCAGCCACTCAATGTTCCGAGGTTTGTGAAGATATGCAATCTACCGTCATTTGTTAAGAGTGTTGGTTGTGAAGTATTATTGGACCCGACTGCTATCGGAGACCCAAGACAGTTGGTGCATATTTGTGCCGCATCTACAGCGACCTATGAGGCTAAGGTCGTTACGTGGACGGAAGAGAGTGCAGATCTGCAAGGGTAGGCTCTCCTAGAGTTTCGCGCGTTTTACGTGAAGTGGCGTAATACTCTGTGAAAAACGCGATATTTGCACTATGCAATAGTTGTGAAATATATATATTTCACTAGCGTTTTTCTCTTATCGCGGGTGAATGAGTGTAATACCTTTCATAATCATTGGTTAGGTTTTTGGCACTCTACAGCTTTCTTTCGTAGTATCTCGAAACACCATCTACTAATAACCTACATTGTTTTCATGTGTCTCGAAACCCAAATTTTGCACTGTTTCGCATCACCTACATGAACCGTTCGTATTCAGTCCATCTGAATGCCTATCGGTTCCACCAGTGAATACCGAGGCTGACGACGACCTTTCTTCCCCGATCACATCAATTGCCCCTCTGAAGGGACAGGGGTACTTCATAGTATCGAAGTCTGCTGGGACGCGCATCGCGGTAAGACTGTAAGTCTGTGTGTTGCAGAGCCTTCCTTATTATGAGCAGAGTGGCCATTGCTGCACGAACGTTTATTATACCTCGCGAGTGCAGTTTCCATGCATATTGTGCAGGTATCAGCGCTTCCGGATCGTCTACGGGAGATAAATCTGGTGGGGTTCGACCCTGCTGCTAGATTGCAAGGTGAAGTGTTATCGCCAAATGGAACCGAGATAGTAGGACTTCGTTTATCGCTGTGTGGGTGCGACTAGTGTAATTTACATCAGGTTGCCATTTGCTGTGGGGGTACGGTGAATAAGCAGCAGTCTAGGGTCATGCTACGAAGGGCTAGGAGGGTGATGGTGGACATCGAGACGGCTTTGCTGACTGGTCCTCCGACTGTGCAGGCTGGCATCTCCTCAGATGAGCAGGCTAATCAGCTGTTGAGTAAGAATCGGTTTGTTGATGATGTTTTTGATCTATTTAGTGTTGGAGGAATTTGTGTTTGTTTCTCTCACCTGAGCAGAGGAGTTCTCTCAATGATTATAGGAGTTTATGCATGAACTCGAATAGGAGTGTGCAGAATCAACACCAACTTTCAAAAAACTTCAAAAAAATTCTAAAAAAACGACCAACTCCCAAAATTTCTTCAGAATTTTCATATTGTCACCAACACATGTGGTTGACCCTGTGCATATTTTCCCACACAGACGCACTGACCTCATTTGCACTTTTTCGTAGGAGAAGTGCTTTTGGCGAACGCTGGGACTGGGAGCAACTTATACGACTGCTACCTTTCCTTGTTGTCGGGCAGAGTCCCACCATGTGTGGATCCCGCCAGACCACAGGTGTGATGAGTTCTGGAGTATTCAACATGGGATCTTCCGAGCTCAGGTGCTCTCCTCGATTTCCAATCTCAATTCAGTGAATCGAGCATTGGAGTTGTCTATTGAACGGCTAGGCGTTCTACCGTCTGGCTATTCGGCTACTTCGTTGTTGATCTTCAACGAGCAAGGGCAGATGCCAGCAGCATCTGGAGGAATGGATGTCGATGCTGGTCCGGGAACAGCAGTAGGAGCCCCACTGGAAAGTAGGTGACTCGATGCATTAAGATACGGCTAGGTTAGTACAGGTACGGAGGAGCTCTTGTCCAAGGCACGGGTGGTGATGGCCCTCCATTGTGTGTAAGTGAGGTTTTACGCGTCTTTTGTGAAGTGGCGTAATATTCTATATGGAAAACACGATATGAAGTGAACTGGAGGCACCTCGCGAATTACACCGTATCACATGAAAAACACATCGCGTGATTTACGCGTTATCCACGGCTCACATGCGTTTTTCACTAGTGTGTTTTATATCACGGAGGGAACTCCATTGTGTGACAGACATGTGCCTATAGGTATTGGGCGATGATGCGCCGTTTGCATACACCCAGGGCTACGTTCATGGCGGTAGTCTCGCGGCCCTTCCCTGAATCAACAATGCAGAATGAACGAAGAGCCATACTAAACCTGTTGTGGTCGGGTGGTCAGGAAGATCTACTTGGCGAGCAACAGTTGCTACCGGTGGATATTGAACAGCCCAACTTCCCCTCACCGGACTGCCCACTGTGTGGCGATGTGACGCCATCTAAGATGACTGTTGATGATAATGCTCGTGTGTTCATCTGTGAGGCGAATCCGACCCATAAGGCCTTGATGTGTCAAAAGACACGAAAGCCTCTGTAAGTGATTTATACGAACTCGTAGGAAATGTGATTTCCGATTTCTCTTAGGGTTTTCGGTGCACTGCTACGGTGCTCTTTCTGCTCCGCAGTGTTCGACGCGTTCGAGGTTATCACATCAAATCGCTGTTGCTTGTGCGGTTGTCGAACTGGCATGGAAGTGTGAAGGAGATGATGATGTTGAAGATGGGTGTTGCATGGAGATTACTGATGATGACTACTACTACCATTACGACTTACAACCACGAATCGCAGCTACTTGCGCCAACAACGTTTTCACAGTTTTTAGACTCTTAGTGGACCCCTGTTGTATTCGTTAATAAGTCCTTTGAAAATATGCTGAATAGATGTACTATGCTGTGTAATATGCTGTAACCGTTATATTGGGCACGTTAGTGTATGTGTGGATGGATCCACTGGTTCTTAGTTTCACGGCCTTTGTTGAGCATGTTAGTCTATGCAGTCCAAGGTGTGGATGATCCCGAGGGAGATAATAGGACTCGAGCGCCGCTTGCTGACCTCCATATGAAGCCAGGTCAGCATCATCTACACAGTCGCTTGACAGACGCACCACATGAGATCATATTTCATCCGAGTAGTTCGAAGAGGCGGTGACATGCACCGATATGGGCATACTTCCTATCACTATTGTGCCAGACGATCCACTGGGAAATGACAGATCACCAGTTATATCGACCTAGTATTGGTCAGGCTGCTGTTTGTGGGTCCATGTCGGTTGCAATGTATCAAGTTCTATAACTGCTTTGTGTTCGTGGGAGTTATGCAACACATACACGTACGCGATAACATAGGCTCCACTACTGCAGCCTGGAGATGCGGACGCTCTCGTATTTGATAAAATGCATTTTAACGTTGAAACCCGAAAGCTTGCTTGGTTTAAACGTCGAGATGCGGGTGGGAGTTGACCGAATAGTCATGAGCCCGAATTCAGACGCTAATTTCCATGAAACACTTCTTGAACAGCTGAAGATGTAATAAAATATACACTCTCCGCAGCATACAGTCAATGAAACCATTGTGGCTGAAATGATGAGCAATCTTCTCAACTGATCACTTGTATTGGACATCGGAGCTTGATCTTGTCTCTAATACATGTTCAGAGGCCTAGGAGTGAGCTACCTCACTGCCAAACACGTCATTGGTCGCAAGTTGCCGAAAACTGCCAAACGTGAAACGCTTCGCTCCGCTGCTCCTTCTGATTCGCTGCATTCATTTCTTACCACCACACTTTTTGGGGGAGTTATTTCTCATTGGAAATGGCATCGATCAACGAAGGGACAAGTAAGTGGCATCACCCCATCACTATCTCGCGACACTGTAGATCTTGTTGACTCTTCGAGCGTCATCAAAGCCTTTGAAATCATCTCCTCGTTGTTACCCCCGTTGGTTGCATTTATCTCCAGTGCTTCCAGATGTAGGGTCTATAGTATACGAGTTAGTGTATCGGTGACAATATTCGATACTCCTAGAAGCTCAATAGGAGTATTGGGGATGTTTCCTTTTACAGGTGGGCTCCCAGTGGGCCAACTCGCCGTAGATGAGTACGGTAACCCCTTTGTTATCATGCAAGATCAAAATGACAAGAAACGAGTCACCGGTTTGGATGCCCAGAAGGTAGCCTTGACTTTATATCAACGCGTCACATACTCCTTCCGCAGACTAACATTCTCGCTGCACGTAGCGTCGCTGAGACCATCCGGACTAGTCTAGGCCCTAAGGGTAAGCGTGATCCTCAACAAGGGAGACTTGGTCGTTATTGCAGGCATGGACAAGATCATCGTCGGTCCTGATGGTGACGTCACTGTTACCAACGATGGTGCCACTATTCTTGATAAGATGCAAGTGGAAAATCAGGTGGCCAAGCTGATGGTGGAGCTCTCCAAAAGCCAGGTAAACTGAAAACATCTGTATAGTCAAAAATTCTCTTCTCTTAGGACGATGAAATCGGTGACGGTACTACTGGTATCGTCATCATCGCTGGTGCTTTGCTTGAGCAAGCAAACAAGTAAGGTAACTGCCCTGTTGGACTTGCTGCAGTGCCTTTTATCAGACTTCTCGAGATGGGTATTCATCCTCTACGAATTGCCGATGGTTTTGAAAAAGCATGTGAGGTTGCCGTGAAACGCGTGGAGGAGATCAGCAAAGAGGTAGTGGTCGGGAGTACTTCGGGTTTTCGAAATCTCTGCATGTCAGGTTGATATTTTCAAGAATGACAACGAGGAGCTTCATCACGCTGCTATGACCGCCTTGGGCTCTAAGGTAGAGTCACAGAGAAAATTCCGGTTCATTCTGATCCGCCCCTTTGGCAGATCGTCTCTTCGCGGCAGTCCCAGATGGCCAAGATTGCAACTGATGCCGTCTTGTCTGTTGCTGATTTGGAACGAAAGGACGTCAATTTTGATCTTATCAAAGTTGAGGTAGCAGTGGTCACTGGCGCTGTCTCGTGAGTAGTGCTTGCATGGTTTTCAGGGTAAGGTCGGCGGTCGGCTAGAAGACACGTGTTTGGTCAACGGTATTGTCATTGACAAGGAGTTCTCACACCCCCAAATGCCTAAGGAGATTAACGACGCGAAAATATGTGGGGAAACTGAACACTAGGATGATGTGCAGTATTGAATCAGGCATTCTGACGTGTCCATTTGAACCACCGAAGCCTAAGACTAAGCATAAGATTGATATCAAGTCGGCTGAGGACTACAAGAAGTTATATAAATACGAACAGAAGTAGGAGAACCTTTCTCACTGGTTACGCTAATGCCCCATGAAGGTTATTGTATATTATAATAGAAGCCTTTATATATTGGATATCCACCCGTTTTACGTGAAGTGGCGTAATACTCTGTGAGAAACGCGATATTCGCGGTTTACAGTCGTGGAATATATTTTTTACTGGTGTTTTTCCATATTACTAGGGTGGTGAAACTCCGTTGATATCGTAAACATGTTGCTATAAATTATTTGATTATATTACCCAAGTACATATCCATAATACCATATGTTTACACGCTGAGTGTCGTCACTGTTCATGGCTGTATTCAGGTATTTTTCTGATATGGTGGACACCATGTTGGCATCAGGAGCTAACCTAGCCATATGCCAGTGGGGCTTCGATGACGAGGCCAACCATCTCTTGTAATAGTAGCAAGACTTAGTTATAGCTAGTCGCATTTTCCTCCTTAGGTATCAGCGTAAACTCCCTGCTATTCGTTGGGTGGGAGGTGTCGAACTTGAACTTATCGCAATTGCCACAGGGGGTCGCATTGTCCCTCGATTCTCGGAGTTGACCTCTGCTAAACTAGGTAGATTGAAAGCTCTCGTGATTGAGGAATGATCATCATTCCTGTACCGCAGGTCATGCTGGGACTGTGAAGGAGCTGAGCCTTGGTACCACTGATAAGGAGTCGATGATTGTCATTGAAGACTGTGCTAATTCAAAAACTGTAAGTCCTAGTGGTAGAGAAGATAACACATGTATTTTCCTTTATGTTCAGGTGACGGTACTGGTCCGTGGTGGTAACCAGATGGCTGTTGACGAGGCCAAGAGATGCTTGCACGATGCCATGTGCTGTGTTCGGAACCTTATTCGTGATAACAGGGTAAGTTCACCCATTTAGCTTTGAGAAATAACGTTCCCTAGGGTTTGATAATAATGGGGAAAATGTTCCTAATGTGATCACATTTACATGGGAAACTGATCGATGAATGTGTTCCTAGCCATTTCGAAAATCTAAAATGAGGTCGCCTCGAAAACATTATAGGTTCAGCGCTTCGTATCAGGTTGTGCCTGGGGGTGGTTGCTCTGAAATAGCTGCTAGCATTGCGGTTGCTGATGCCGCGGATAAAGAGCCTACTGTTGAGCAGTATTCTATGAGGGCGTTTGCTGACGCCCTAGAGACCATTCCTAACTGCCTGAGTGAGAATTCGGGGTTGCAGCCACTGAAGACGGTGGCTCAAGTGAGGTAATAGTGTGTGTAGTTGTTTTCTTTTTGAATTTTGGTGTTTAGAAACCTGCAAATATCTACCGGCAAACCTGTGTTTGGTGTTGACTGTATTGCCCAAGGCACGAATGATATGTGGAAACAAGGAGTGTATGAGGCTACGGCTTCTAAGGTGGTCGAGAGTGTTGGGGACTTGTGTTTGTTTTGAATGTGTATTCTGTCTTAGGTGGAGCAGCTCAGCCTAGCCACACAGGTGGTGAAGATGATACTCAAGATTGATGATGTGATGTCTCCGTATGATTACGACCAGTAGATGTCTTCGTCGGTGTGAGCACGTATATGACGCTGATCGAGATGATTGCGTTTCTAGCGTTATCCATATACCCTTCCCAAACAGAAGTGACCATAGATGAGTGTTGCTCTTAGAGCTGTAGGGATTCCAACATGTGTTGTGTTGTAAAGTTTGGAACCCTTCGGGGCCTTGTGAGGAGGAAGTCCGTGAAGACTCATTTTCCTTGCGCGTTGATTCGATCTTTGTAACCCCTTAGGGTTTCACATTTCAAGGAGAATATTAACTGACTATTAGTAAGCTATTTGGTGAAATTAGTGATCGAGGTGAACAAGCGTTGAGGACGGTTAGTTTTCAAAAGGATAAGCTATCTATTGAAATTTTGGACAATTCACTAAAACCAATCGGTGGAAAGGTTTCTTTGCATGATAGGCATCCGAGTAACGTACAGAAGTAATGAATTGTAACATCTTCTCAACAATTACATTACCTCAATGATACTACCGCTTCGATAACACCTGATGAAGAAGAAGAGTTGAGCTTTTGCTTGTGCCACAGAGGCTGCAGAGCGCAATACCAATTCTATAGAGGGAAAGTCAGCCATACGATGTGTAAAAAGGAATGGTAGGCACTCTCCCAGTCGAGAAGGAAGACCAGGGTGAGGTGCCGCGATAAACCTCTATGATCGAATGAGTAGTTCCTGATCCTGTATTAGATACCAATGGATGACCTCAAGAGATTTAATCGATCAGAATGGCGTGCGCTAATATCGATAATGATCGATATTTCGCGCTCGCCATGTTCGCTACGGCCACGATTCGTCGGCCCAACGCCCTGGCACTGGTGCACACAGAGTGGAATTCACTGGAAATGGTAGTAGGGGTACGGGAATCTCTATCGGCCTGACTCGCTGTGTTAAACGTGATGATGCTCTTTTTTCAGTCCATGCTCAAGCTTCAACGCCGTTTGGCAGCTTCTGTTGCCAAGTGTGGTAAGAACCGCATCTGGATTGACCCCAATGAGACCATGGAGGTCGCTACTGCTAACTCTCGTAAGGGTGTTAGGAAGCTCCTCGATGACGGTATCATCATGAAGAAGCCCGTAAGTCCCTTAGAGTCTCTCTACCTCTCCTTTATCACTTCATCAGGTCGCGATGCACTCTCGTTCTCGCGTTCGTAAGAACCTCCTCGCCAAGCGCAAGGGTCGCCATACTGGTCCCGGCAAGCGTAAGGGTACCGCTGAGGCCCGCATGCCCACCAAGGTATTGTGGATGAGGCGTCAGCGTGTTCTTCGTCGTCTCCTGAGGAAGTACCGCGAGGCCGGCAAGGTTGATAAGCACATCTACCACTTCTTCTACATGAAGTCTAAGGGTAACACCTTCAAGAACAAGCGTGTCCTCATCGAGGCCATCCATAAAAGGAAGGCCGAGACTGAGCGTGCTAAGCTCCTCGAGGAGCAGACTGAGGCCCGTAAGGCCAAGGCCCGTGCTATGAAGGAGAAGCGTTCTGGCAAGGCTACTGTCGAAGCTGAGGCTACTGTTGCTGCCCCCGTTGCCAAAACCGTCGAGGTCGCTGCTGAGCCCGCTAAGGTCGGCAAGAAGAAGGCTAAGAAGTAGATGAGTTCCCTTCCACGATGAGTTTGCTATGGACTTACGCCGCCGCTCGCTCTGTGTAACTCGTTTCCACCAGGATTGGGGAGTTGACTGGTAGTGTTAGTAATCAATGAGTACTTATAACGAAACGAAAATAACCGTCTTAAAGGACAAGTGGTGGGAAAATCTATTTTACAGTATTTGCGTCCATCCGTGGTCCAACTTATCGGTACGCAGCACTGTTTCATCATTTGACTGTGGAACGGTAAACTTGGTGGAACCGACTGTACCATATCTGCGAACACTGAGTTTTCTAAACCAGTTGAATATCTCTGTTGCCCGAGTGCCGTGTGAAAATGTGTCCTGGGGCCTAGTCAAGTGCTTTTCGTTTCTGGGTTCCGAGTTCGAGGAATACTCTTCCGAGACTTCATCCATCTAAGTGCTCGGCTTGATTTACGAGTATATTACCCGATTCCCGAGTACAGGTCATGTTTCCAAGGAAGGGGCGCCCTTCCGACTACTCGGACTCGGAAAAGGGCTCCTGGAGGATAAATCAAAGGAGTGTATGTAACGCAAGTGCTGTTCAAAAGTTGATATACGAATATCTAATAAAATGTTATATTTCGACACTACGTTCTCCTTGCGATATGGGACAGATCTGATTGGTTACTCGGGAGACCATAGTCACGTCGCTGAAACTCATATTCGTCCACTTCTCCCTCATCAGTAACGATGAAAGCTTATCGCAGTGAAGTTGCGGAGCGAGCTGTAGCGATCGCTTCGCTCCGCTAGGCAGTTTCATGTCGACTTGTTGAAACGGCTGAAACGGCTAGGCGTCGAATTCGTTCTCTTTTGCAGTTCTATGATCATATTGCTTTGTTACACTCGCTACTTTCGTCCTTGTCGATCCCATTAGTCGTCCCTTAGACATAGGTTGGCTTAGTAAGCACAAGCCTTTGGGACACTAGTGATGGTAAGACGACGGTAGCCATCTTGGCTCAAGATCGTAGTTGGGTTCTTCTCCCTCTTCCCTTATTGATTCTTCAACCCTTCTACCCCCAAGGATAACTTAGCGATCTGTCTGCAGAAATGCCCGGTTCTTGTGTTAACAACCAGGTTGGTAATCAGCCAGCTCCGCTACATTCTACCGGGATCTCTAATCCCAATCTCCCAGACGACGAGGCCCCCTTCGACGCCTCTCCGAGATCTACTACTTCTACTAACGACGCCAACCGTCACTCAACTCGGCTGGCCAACCTCCCTGCAGCCCCTGGGCTCGACTTCCCTACAAGCAGAGCTACCAAGGGCAAAGATTCTAATTCAAGCTCCTGCTCGAAGATTCCAAGACCCCCGACCCCTAGGGAACTTGCACTCCCCAAGGGAACTGATGTACAACTTCGAGCTGAAATCGACGCCCTCCACGGCGACATCCAAGCTACTGTCGACCGATTCGCGTCGGTTGACGAAAGATTCGACTACATCGAGCACGAGATCGGTACTTTGACTACTACGGTCAACTCCCTTTCGTCGGATGTCACCCTCATGATCGACAAGCTTAACGACGTTCTCGACAAGAAGCCAGACTCGACTTTGTGTCCCCCCTCTACTGTGGTAGTCCCTCCGCCTTCAGAGAAATCCCGCCTCGAGCTACCCAAGGAAGCCATTGATGCCCTATTCTTTCGTGGCCAAAGCTTCCAGAACAAGGTGGATAAGTGCTGTGCAGCATGCAACAATGCTCCTACGGTTGAAGGTGGTCGATTCATTGGTAATGATGATCCGAGATCCTTCGCTGAATTCTCTCAACTGGTTCGCCAACATAATATGTACCTCTACGGTGATGCGGTTACCCGATACTTCTTTCTACTACATAACCTCTCTCCGAGTGTTCACAACTCCACAGTGTTCGGCCTGCAATATGGTGATGCGCAAGACACGCCTCAATGTACCAGTGTGAACGACTTCCAAAGGCTACTCGACAAGGTGTGGAACCATCTCATGGATGAGTTTGCTAAATCATCCGGTCTATTCGATCACTACAAGGCACTACAACTTCTTAAACTCTCTCCCGGTGCTGACTTTGACGGCCATCTCAGTCGGTTCACTACCCTTATTCGTGCCATACAGAGAGAGAAGGGTTCCATTGATGACCGCGAGACGGCTGCTCACTGGTACAACAGTCTAGATGAGCGAGGTCAAGATGATATAGATCGGGCTCCTGCCCAAGACGTTAAGACCTTCGTCCAGATGCGTGAGAGATCTCGAGGCTTCTACCGATCACTCAAGAAGACGTGGAAGGCTAACGCTGCTGGAAAGTCGATCACCACTAATGTTGCTACTGCTGCGGGTCCGGCGACTACAACTCAGGTTCATCAATCTCTTCCTACACAGCCGGCCTCAACTCGTCCAAAGCCTTCTACATTCTGGGACACTACAGCCCAACGCCCTGCCGACGGTGTGACAGACGGGTCTATATTCAACCTCGACTTCATACGGAAGTTCCGGTGTCAACGTTGTCTCTGCCACGACCACAGTACTGGCTCTTGCAAACAATCTAAGATGGCCTTCGATTCTCTCCGTTGTGCTCGATGCGGGACTCATCATGATCCCGTACGGTTCCCAGAAGCTCACTGTCGAGACAGCAATTGCTACCGCTGTGGGAAGCGAGGTCATATGAGTCGTGCTTGTCCCGAACCACTACCTCAGAAACCCGATACCACCCCTTCAAGTTCTACGGGTACCGAAGGGGCCAAGATTCAGGCTAATGTAGTCCAGATCACTGACTCCGATGGGTCTGGATTACCCATGATAAAATTAGCTATCTCATCACCTGACTACGACTCGCCCAAGCCCGAAGGTCGTGTAGCTACTAATGCTCTACTGGATTCTGGTGCTGAACAACCGCTATGTGCCGAAGATGAGTATAATCGATGGTGTGATGCTGGTCTCGTCCTCCCACTAGTCCCTGATCCACGGACCATCATCTTCGGTAACCCCTCACACCAATCAGCGACTCTCGGTAGAGCTAGTGTGATCCTACATCTCGACGACCGAACTTCTATCGTGGCCGATATACTAGTGGTCAGGTCGCTCAACTACCCCTTCATCGTGCCAACTAGTCTATTACGACGTACAGGTGGTGCGGTATGGATGATCTACCCTAATGCTGCTCAACAAGATAGAATCATAGTTGGTCAGGAATGTCAACAGCTACTGGCTACTCCTCTTGACCCCAGGTCTGATATGGAGGCAACTGCCCCTTCTCCTTATGTGAAATGCCATCAAGTGACTGCGAAGAACATCAACGATATGAGCCTCAACGATGTGTCTATCAACCACCAACGAGTGAAGAACAGCCCCAAGGCCGTGGACCTCCCTGTCACTCTGGTTGACGACCGTGATGCCCC